AGGAGGTGATTTCCTATTTGTCAGGTGTGCTGACGAATTTTATGTGTCAATTTGGCTGGACCAAAGTGCTGAGATATTTGGTCAGACATATTCTGGATGTCACTGTGATGAGATTTTCACTGAAATGGGTGGACTGGGAAAACTTGGTTAAACAGATTGGATGAGGCCTACCACGTCAGAGGGCAGTCAGTTGAAAACCTGAATATGCTGATGGGCTGACTTCTCCTAAGCAGGAGGGAGTGTGCCAGCAATCAGCCTGGACTTCAACCTGCCACATCAACTCCTGTTGGTTCATAAACAGACTGCCTTTAGACTTGAACTACAGCTCTTTCCTGAGTATCCAGATTTTGAAGATTTTTGCAGCCACATTTGCTAATTCCTTAAAAGAAGGTGTGTCTATTTGTACACATCCTATTAGTTCCATTTCTCTAGAGAACCAAATGATATAGCAAGTGTGAAAGCCAATGGTATATCTTGAGCATATCTTTTAATTCTGAAGAAGTTCATATATTCTTTGATTTGTATGTCCTACATTCAGTATGCTCTTTGCTTGCCTGTAGATATGTTAATAAAAAAAATCCACAGCAAAACAACCTTGAGTGAATCAACACTCTGTCAATCTTAATACACAAATAAAAAAGCTGTTGAATTATCATATCATGCTTTTTAAATAATATTATGTAACTGAATAAATTTTCACAATTATTCATAATTATGAAGATGAACTTTTTGGGAGGGAGTAAGAGTAGTATCCTTAATTAGTGTTTGAAATGAAAGAATGGTAAGATTAGTTTTGGTAAAATGAGTGTTGATTAAAAACACACAACTGATGTCACTGTTCTCTATACCCTAGTTCTAAAACTAAACAAGAAAGTAGCTATGCTTACGAGAGTTCAGGCAAGGTAAGATTGGCTAATCACTCTCATGAAAAGTTTAAACCACTTGGGGAAGCAAATAAGGATTTGAGGAACAACCAGGAGTGGCTAAAAAGTGTTCTCACGGAGGGCATGGCTAAGGGCTGTTCATTAACTCAGTTGAGGCCAGACAAGAACAAAAGCAGTTACAAACTACTGTGCTACGGGTCATGGAAGTCTCTGGAAGTATTTCCAGGCAGTTAACATGGTTGAAGTGGTTACTTATTGTGTTCTAGACGAGGAGTTATTTCAATTTGTGGCTTCACCTTTCCTGGCTATGAAGCTAAAGAGAAAGCACAGGCCTGCATTCTCCAACTGGGCTAAGTCAGCAGAATCACACTGGGAGTGGGGCTTCAAACAAGCCACTCGGGCAACATTTCCACACAATGGTAGGGGTTTGTCATTGAGAATAAAAACAAGGTGCAAAAGAAAACATATAGCATGCTACGTTTGGTATAAGAAAAAAGTAGGAAACAGGAGTGTGTGTGCTCTTCCATGTGTGTTTCTGGGTTTTTTTATTCCTTCATAAAATAAACACGGGAAGAATAATCAAACTGATGAAGTCAGTCACCTGTTGGAGGTAGTGAGGGAGATGGGAGTGGAACTCCTGTGTACACTTTGTATGTGAGTCTCCTGTTGTTCTGTGGTAGATTACCACAAACTCAGTGCCTTCAAACAATGGAAATCTGGTATTTTACAGTTCTGCGCACTCATTCCTTCTAATGCTTTGGGGAAGAATCTGTCTCCTCACCTTTGCCAGGTTTTTGAGGCCACCTGCCTTCCTCAACAGGGACCCTTTTCTCCACATGCAAAGCCAGCAGTGTAACATGCTCAGATCTCTCTGATTCTAGCTGTTCTGCTGCCTACTTCCACATGTCAGGACTTGGGTCTCAAGTTGTCTGGGGGGTCAACCATGCAGCGTCCTTAATTCCTGTCTGTCATGTAATGTAACGCTGTCGCAGCTTTTGGCATTAGCGTGTGGACATCTTGCAGTGGGGGGAAGACATTTAAAAAAAGTTGCATCAGGAATAATGAAATCAAACTGTAAAACTGAAGATAAATAGAAACAAGCCTGTATGTCAAATAATGTAACTACACTGAGGAGGGAAAAATGTATTGATTCAAATAAACTTTCAACACAGAACTCTGCCAATTTATTAGAAGAGCTATCATAAAGTCCAAAATAATTACGAAGAAATCATGATATTTTATCCAGTAAATATGTTGCTGCTAGTGGCCACAGTATAGTCATCTTGAAACTTTTTGGTGTGCATTTTGGGAAAGTGCAAATGACTAAATATGTTGACATTGTGGAGAGCCAGGGTGCTTTCTGTGGAAGAAGAGAGATATAATATGAATGGGGGATGGTAAGAGAGAACCTTGTGATGCTGGATTTTTTTTCATGTCTTTTCCCTAAAATGGCATAGAATACTGACACTCAGGAGCACTGGGCACACCTTGTACTAAATCTCAGTCTCTGTATAGCATTCCTTGCTAAATAAAACAGCTTTTAAGGAAATGTCTAGGGGCCAAAGCTGTGGAGTAGTGGTCTAAGCCTCCGCCTGCAGCACCAGCATCCTGTATGAGCACTGGTTGGTGCCCTGGCTGATCTTCTTCTGATCCAGATCTCTGCTTATGGCCTGGGAAAGCAGTGGAAGTTGGCTCAGGTGCTTGGGTCCCTCACTCATGTGGTGGACTCAGAAGAAACTCCTGGCTCTGGCTTCAGGCTTCAGAATGGCCCAACTCTGGCCATTGCTGCCATTTGGGGAGTGAACCAATGGATGGAAGATCTCTCTCTCTCTCTCTCTCTCTCTCTCTCTGTGTGTGTGTGTGTGTGTGTGTGTGTAACTCTATCTTTCAAATTAATCTATCAATTTTTTTAAAAGAGTTATCTCCAAAAGTAAGTAGAACATTAAGTTGAAAAAATATTTTTTGAAAAAGGTCTAACTTCAGGTGAAACAGGTATAAGGTACTATAACTAATGGTGCCAAAGACTGATGGTAACATGTGCAAAGGACACATGGATTTTTTGCTGGGCAAATTTCAGACATTAGCCCATCCATTTTGACCCAGATTTTGACCCAGAAAAGGAATTCTTTGTATTAAAATAGAAACAGTGTAATACTTGATTCAGGCCAGATCACTTATAGATGTTACTGTCATTACGTGAAATGTTGGCATAAATAGTCATTTAAAAATTGCACACGGGTTAGTTACCAATTACAAAAGAAAAATATTTGTTTATGATGGCAAAATATGGTAAAATGTCGTATCTGAAAGGCAGATCTGCTGGTTCTCTGCCCCAGTAGCTGGGCCACACTGAATACAGGAGCCACAAACTCCATCCAGGTCTCCCACATTGGCAGGAGATGAACAGGGAACTGGAACAGGGAACAGGAAGAGGCACATGAACAGGGAACCGGAACTGGAACTGGATCAGAAACCAAATAGCCAGCTCCGACCTCACTGTTTAAAGTGATCAAACTCAACATCACAACAATGGGACAAACTGACAGCTTGTGCTTCCTAATGTGAGACAGTGCAAAGAATAAAATTGCATTCTTGCCAAAAACGTTTACCTTGAATCTGTTCAGAGGGAAACGATCAGAAAGTTCCAGGTGTAGGGTATTTTACAAGGGAACTGGTCTGGACTGCAGGTTAAAATAAACTAAATATAAACTGAACAAACTAATGACTACCAAATGCAATTTGTGATCCTAGATAAATGGCTATGAAGGACATTACTGGGAAATGCTAAGCAGGGACTCTGTATTAATGCAGTATTGATGTGCATATTTTATATATATATAACAATGGTAATGTGTTCATGTAGACAAGGTCTCAGTTCCTAGGAGACACATATTGAAGGATTTAGGGCATGATGTCAATAGCTTTCAAGCATTTCAGAAAAAAATGGTGTCTCTACACATGTGAGAAAGGAGTGATAGCACAAAAATATAAATTACTGAGGACTTTTGTGGTAGAATGGATTTTGCACTAAACTACCAAATTTTCTGCTGGTTTGATTTGCAAAATAACAAACTGAAGAAAAAATGTTCATTGTGCTCCTGGGATTCTTGCTACCCTTTGGGCACATTTTGTTTGTTTTTTTCAAGTTGTATGGTTTCTTTTCTTCTTTTTGAACAATGTTTTTTTCTGATTATCTTTTTTGAAGTCTCTTCCTGACCTCCAGCTACTGCTTTCAGTCTCTGGGCAATGTGATTATAGATGGACGAATTTCACTGAAAGCAATGTTTATCAATCTCCGGGAAGGTCTAATGTACAGGGAAAGTATTTGGAAATACAATGGACATGTAGTATCTGGGTTACAGCCAGCACTCAGAAAATATGTGCTAAGCATGAATCTGTTGTATGAGCTTCTCAATACCATGAAAATAATACCTGACCTTACCAAAACACCAACAAGAGAAGCAGGTCTCCAGGTCATTCTTCAGACCAGTTGGAGGGACCTGATGGTGCTTTAAACAAGTTTGTCACAGTCTGCCATTCTACTGAGGTTGCCAACCTGAGAGCTCATGGGGCCTTACGTCCTCTGGGACACATTCCCTCACCCTGGCCTCTTCCTCCTTGGCCAGCTCTGCTCATCTGCCTTGATCTCACCTTATCTTCCTTCAAGTCAGTCCCACCTTGTTTGCCTGCTTTGTAACTCTCTGCATGAGCGCTAGTAACAGGCTTCTCAGGGTACTCTCCAGGAAATCAGCCCATCCAGGAGTCGGAACAATATTTTCCACATGTATGTGTTTTTTTTTCAGGTTTCTTGGCTATCAGGTGATCTATAGGATATTCTGAGAATATTAACCTGGTTCTATGCTAATAGGTGATAGAGGATAGTGGGAAGGTACACAGATACTGGAATCCAACTGTTAAGAACCCAACTCTTGGCAAATTCCTTTAACCTCTCTGGATATGACTTTACTCATCTGTAAAACCACTTAGGAAAATTCTATGTAAATGTTTAATATTGTTAATCATTACTACTTTTTCTGCAACGTCACACCCAGGTCAAATTCTGTTTTCAAGACACTAATGGTTTATTTGTCGCTTTGTATTTTCTCGTGGCTTCAGGTTTCCCTGGGACTTCTGCATGCCCATGCTACACATATCCTGTGGCCTCCAGAGCGCTGGCAGAAATTGGAATCTGTTCTTCCTCCAGAGCGCTTGCCAGTTCAGAGTGAGGATGAGTCACCACCTGGATCTGCTTGAGCTGGTGTTGGGGGGCCGAGAGAGAAAAGGAAGCTCCTGGGAAAAGCCTCCACCGCTAGCATGCTGCGTGGCGAACATTTGTCTCACATCACAGTGATCTGTGTGATTATCGTTTTAAATATTAAATGGTTCCTGGTGTTCTGTTAAACTTTAACACTTCTTTAATGCCAAAAAAATTCAGACCTTTGGGAATCAGAAACTGTTGTACCATGTCTTACAGGGGATAAACGCGTTAGTTCTTATACATACAGATTCCATTGATTGTTGGGTTTTGGTGCTTGCTGCTGGCAGAATTTGAAAATTCATATTCAATAAAAATAATTTGCGACTGTTAAATACAACTTAGATAAATGCATATTATACAGAAGATGTAATCGACAGCAGCGACAATGCAGTACTGTAGGTACAGAGTACAGTGATGTTATAATAAAACAATGGCTTGTTCAGGTCCTGTTTTGAATGTTTGTCATTTAACCTCTACATAAATTAATGGGGAACAGATCCTCTTCTGGAAGTAAGGAATAAAGAATATGCAATGCTAATACTTACATGCTATCAAACCTATTTTACTTGCCCTTCTTAATCCGTAACTTCAGAGTGATCTCATGCCTGTTCAAAATGACAAGCAAAGCCCTTCATCTGCATTCAGTCATTGTTTGGTAACCGGCTCTGAGTGAAATAGAAAAAGAAATCATTCCAGAGGAACCATCTTTGTTTCTTCTCATGCCTGCTTAGTATTCATAATTGTAGTTCTGAAAGCAGCTATTGCAAAGGGGGTTACAGTAGAATAACAGACCTTGTGCTTTATACAGAGGATGTGGTAAATTGCCTGCCTGCAAGTCTGTAGTTATTTTTTCTTCCCATGGGTTAGAAACTTGTGCTAATGGAGACAAATCTCTGGTTGTATTCCTTCCACTCACCTGGTCTCTTTTCTTTCTGTTTCATTGACAGACAATATTCCAAATTAGGAAGAGCCATCTTGTAAATCTGGATGCTAACTCACTCTTAGCTAGTAGGAACAGAAAGAGCAAAAGCAAAGTCCCTATGCATGCTGGGAGCATAGATAACAACAATTTATTAGCATCATGGTAGATCATACAATGAACACCAATGAGAACTTTCATACAAAGTTGGTCAGAATTTTTTTCAATAGATCCTATTTGTTTATTTGAGAGGCAGATTTACAGAGAGAGGGAGAAACAGAGACAGAGGTCTTCTATCTGCTGGTTCACTCCCCAAATGGCCACAGTGGTTGGAGCTGAGCCCATATAAATCCAGCGGCCAGGAGCTTCTTTCCAGTCTCCCACATGGGTGCAGAGGCCCAAGCACTTGGGCCGTCTTCCACTACTTTCCCAGGCCATAGCAGAGAGCTGGATTGGAAGAGGAGCAGCTGGGATATGAACTAGCACTCACATGGGATGCTGGTGCCACAGGCAGAGACTTAGCCTACTATGCCACAGCACTAGCACCAGAATTATTGTTTTTAAAAGTAGATCCAGGGACTAGTCTTGTGGCTTAGTAGGCTTAGTAGGGTAAGCCTCCGCCTGCATATGGGCCCCAGTTCATGTCCCAGCTGCTCCTCTTCCAATCCAGCTCTCTGCTTTGGCTTGGGAAAGCAGTAGAAGATGGCCCAGGTGTTTGGGCCCCTGCACCTGTGTGGGAGACCCAGAAGAAACTCCTGGCTCCTGGCTTCAGATTGTCCCAGCTCCGGCTGTTGTGGCCATTTGGAGAGTGAATCTGCAGATGGAAGATGTTGCCCTCTGTCTCTCCTCTCTGTAACTCTTTTAAATAAATAAATAAATAAATCTTAAAAAAAAAAAAAGCAGATTTGCCTAAAATCTTTTGATGGATCTTCACTGCCCTTCCCAATTCTTAAATTCCACTTTCCAAACTTGAACTTTAAACTCTATCCTTCAACTACAATTTACCGAATATTCACTGCAATTTCTGGGCTTGTACATTTCCCCCTGCCTCTTGGCAAAGTGCTTCCCCTGGGATTCTGGGATTAGTGCATAATGGTGTTGACTCTTTAATTACTGGAACCTAGGAAGCCCTGAGCATCCAGAAAGTAGAGTAAGGAACAAATGGTGTTTGGTGTGACTCTTGTTCTTCACTGGTAAATAGCAAACTGGCCATTGGCCTTGCTACCTTATGAGCTACCTGTGTCATTTTTCTCAAACTATCACTCAATCTTTAGAGAAGAGCCAAATGTTTTCTTCAGTTTTGTGTTCTTTAGTCCCCTATCCCATCACCAGCAGGGCTAACACCTAGTGCTTGCTGTAGAACTTCACTCAAGTGTTACTTCTCAGGACTGGTGCTATGGCACAGTGGGTTAATCCTCTGCCTGCGGTCCTGGCATCCCATATGGGTACCAGTTCTAGTCCCAGCTGCTCCTCTTGCAATCCAGCTCTCTGCTGTGGTCTGGGAAAGCAATAGAAGATGGCCTGAGTGCTTGGGCCCCTGCACCTGCGTGGGAGACCCAGAAGAAGCTCCTGGCTCCTGGCTTTGGATCGGCACAGCTCCAAGCTGTTGCAGCCATTTGGGGAGTGAATCAACAGAAGGAAGACCTTTCTCTCTGTCACTCCCTCTCACTGTGTGTAACTCTATCTCTCAAATCAATAAATAAAATCTTTTTTTTTAAAAAAGTGTTACTTCTCAGAAATGCAGCTCCAGGCAGAGTTCATCACCGCTGGCTAGTAGACTTTCTTGAGTGTACCGACTCCTTCTGTATGTTAAAGATTCAGGTCCATATCTCCACAGCAGGACTGCGAACTAGTTTAGTCTATAGTAGGGTTTATCCTGCCCTACTTGGTGATATGATCATGCATAATTGACAGTAAAATTCTGTCCAATCAATGCATGAGTGCAGGGAACTGTTAGAGATAAAAAAGCAAGAGGGATAAGACAAAGTCTTTTAGAGTCTACTGGTGAGTGGAAATAATGCAGAGGCAAAATTATACAGCTTAGCAGTAGGTTTAGCGCATGGGACAGGTACCACACAGGGGAAAATGGAGGGCAAATCCGATTCTGTGTGGGAAATTCTAGGGGAAGCCGAAGCAACCTTCACAGGAGAGGTGCCATAAGTTAAAATGTCCGTATGAATAAAGTCTTCCTTTTGTGAATTATAAGCCTTAGTCCATAGAAGATGATTTCAGGGGTAAAAACTTCTCACAGTGGTTAAGCCACTGCTTGGGATGCCTGCACCCATGTCGGAGTGCATGGGTTCAAGTCCTGGCTCCACTCCTGATTCCAGATTGCTGCTAAGGCACACCCTGGGATGCAGTGGTGACGGCTCAAGTACTTGAGTCTTCACCCTTGTAGGAGACCTAGAATGATTTTTTTAAAACTGTACACAGAGTCTTTTTATTTTTTTTTAATTTTTTGACAGGCAGAGTGGACAGTGAGAGAGAGAGAGAAAGAGAGAAAGGTCTTCCTTTTCCGTTGGTTCACCCCCTAATGGCCGCTGCGGCCGGCACACCGAGCTGATCCAAAACCAGGAGCCAGGTGCTTTTCCTGGTCTCCCATGGGGTGCAGGGCCCAAGGACCTGGGCCATCCTCCACTGCACTCCTGGGCCACAGCAGAGAGCTGGCCTGGAAGAGGGGCAACTGGGACAGAATCCGGCGCCCCGACCGGGCCTAGAACCTGGGGAGCCGGCACCGCAGGTGGAGGCCTATTGAGCCACGGCTCCAGCCGATTGATTTTCTGATTCAGTCCTGGCTGTTGTGGACATTTGAGGAATGAACCAGAAGATTGCAGATCCGAATCTGTTTCTCTTTCTTCCTTAAATAAATAAAACAAATAAAAATTTAAAAAATGTTTTCAGTGAAGTAAATTGCTTGTTAACTGTTCAAGGTGTACATACACTGAGATTTATAATTTTTTTTAAAGATCTATTCATTTACTTCAGAGGCAGAATTACAGACAGAGGGAGAAACAGAGAGAGTGTTCCATCTACTGGCTCACTCCCCAAATGGCTGCAAAGGCCAGAGCTGAGCCAGTCTGAAGCCAGGAGCCAGGAGCTTCTTCTGGGTCTCATGTGGTTACTGGGACCCAAGCACGTGGGCCATCTCCTGCTACTTTCCCAGGCCATAAGAGATTGGATTGGAAGAGGAGCATCCAGGACACAAACCAGCACCTACACAGGGTACCAGCGCCACAGGCGGAGGCTTAGCCTAATACACCACAGCACTGGCCCCACAGGATTTCGTAAATTTAACTTACAGGATGTAATATAGTGATAGCACCTCTGGAAAACTGAGATGAGCAACGGTTTTCCACATTTTGCAAAAGCCATAAAGAATTTTAACCAAATATTCCCTAAAATGATGTTATATATGGAAGAACTTTTAAATTTGAATGAATGTTAAACTACTAAATTGGCATGCTCACTTTTGCCTTGCACATACAGTTTCTGGATTCATATGGACATCAAAAACTTTTTTAAAGAAAAAATTATGTTACAGATACTGATTTCACTGGTATATGACTTTAGGTAAGAGGGAAGACTGGTCTTTGAAAATGAAACTTGGAAAATACCTGAATGTCATTCATGAAACATCAATGTTTAGCCCCAAATTTTTTTCATTATATAATCCATATTAAGTTGAAAAACATATTTCTTTATAGAAATATTTTCACTGCTTGAAAAACAAGAGAACTGAAAAACCAGAAATTTGCTTACCTCATTGTGTTAAAATAGCATACTACCTCTACAACATAAAAGGCAAGATAAAAATAATTTAAGTAAATGAAATCTGCAAGAAAATAACATTAGTGTTGAAAATGGTAAACTACATATTCATATTCCAGAAAACTAATGATAGGAAATACAAATTTGGATTTAGAAAGTATAAGGGCTGGTATTGTGGCACAGCGGGTTCCTGACCATTCATTCTTTTAAGAGGAAGAGTTGCAGAGAGAGGGAGACAGAAAGGTCTTCCATTCTCTGGTTCACTCCCCAAGTGGCTGCAAGACCAGAGCTGAGCTGATCTGAAGACAGGAGCCAGGAGCTTCTTTTGGGTCTCCCATGTGGGTGCAGGGGCCCAAGCACTTGGGCCATCTTCCACTGCTTTCCCAGGCCATAAGCAGAGAGCTCAGTTGGAAGAGGAGCAGCATGGTACACAAACCAGCACCCATATGTGATGCAGGCACCACAGGTGGAGGTTTAACCTACTATGCCACAGCACAACCCCTCCCCACCGACTTTGAGTGCTGCTTGGGGAGCAGCGTGTCTGCTTATCTCCATGAAGAGAGTGCATGTTTCTTCCCCCCACCTCCCTCCCTCACCAGTGAGTTTGCTGGTATAGAGCTTGTTTTGACCAGGAGAATGGTAAGTGGCTTGCTCCAGGGACAGGGTACTTTGCAGGATACAGAATGGACCCTCTGCACCCAGGGACTGTGGGAGTCCTGGGCATGGATCATGGCCCTGAGCAGAATGTGGGCTGT